TACACTTAGGCGAGCAATGTAGACGGAATTGTAGACTCAAGTATCATCTAATAACTGAAACACTTCACCAAATAGTGCGAAGTATTCTCCAAGTAATTCTCTGAGTAGTCGAAACTAAATATCCTTTAATTAATATCTTGTATTTTTAATTGATTTCCTTGGAACTGTGAACAATTTCGTATAATGTCAACTTTCAATTTCGTAAGAATGTCGACTTGCCAAAGTTTCCGTAGACTTTTCTTGTTTGAGTTTGGTCATGAATAATATGCCAAAGGCGACGTGACGGGGGTCGACCCGTTTTATCTGCGGGGCTCACATTTCTTGTAACAATAATTCATCGCTATCGCAATTACCAAGAACGATCACGATGCCGGAAGATCCGGCGCCTCTATTACGAATTCCGTCATTGGGGTAAGACAGAGAGGACGGGCTGATAGAGAGGGATTGATGAAGGAGAATAGAGAAGAGGGACACAGAGCGGAAGGGAAACTCGCACTGAACGCTTGTGCAACGTTTGATTGGACGCAGTGAGACCTTCAGAACAATGCTTGATCGTAACCAAATGCGCACGGTAACGTGAAGCGCGGTATATGTCACCCTGTTTGTCGAATAAATATTGACTTCCGAGCGTTCCTTCCTACCATCTCGGCCAAAGTAACATTTGTAAGCATCGTCGCAGAAACGGAATATGTTCTTAGGGGAACTATTAAGTCCATTCGTGCGATGAAGTAGGGTGTATGTTAACGTACGTGTGTGTTAACGAAGATTGACAGGCAAACGGAAAAATTCGTTAATCTTTCGTTACGTCAGATCGATGAAGAAGACGACGATGGCGATGCCAAACGCCGAACATTCCCCGCACCTTCGGAACAATAGGAAGTTTCACGGTAGAAGATGCCAGAGTTATAGCCGGCCGGAGACGTGATAATATATGTCGGAGTAATTTTCCCGGCAATATTCCCAGAAATTTATGGGTTATTAATTTTATGAACCTCCGGCTATCCTCGCCTCCGGGCGCACGTGTCCCTCTCGGTAATATCTCTATTATGACTGACTGCGGCCGATCTTACGTGCGCTCGTCCCCGACTCGCCGACTCATCCCCTCATTATTATAAACCCGCCAGATTCTGGTTTTACTTCGTTGGCACTTTATTAAATTTTCTGTTATACGCAAAATAATTTCGCACAAGTTGGAACATGTGTGTTTTTATTACGCTTATAAAGAATTTCACGCGTTGCGGTAAGTTAAAGCCATATAATGAATACGCCGCTATAATAAATCAAGTGTTCCGAAATTGCGCGAGCTATTATTTTTAATAAGTATAAATTACGTTGATAAGCGTATATAATTATTTCAAATGTGCTCTAGAATATTAGATGTTTTAAAGCACGTTCTATGACTATATTATTCTGAAAACTCTGAATACTAAATATTATTCCTCGTTTGTCCATTAAAACTGCATACAGATTGCACTATTTCCGACAAATAAACGCGCGAATAAATGGGTTGAACGCACAGATGCTTTAACGAGAGTTTTGAGCGAGCCACGATAAATCGATTTTATCAGTTTGCATTAGCTTGCAGCGCTGTCTCTTAAAAACTAAATTATGAATAGGCTGCAAGTTAGTAGCGTATAAATATTTATTTCTGTATCTAATAATCTTAAATTTTTGTTGTGAATTTTTGAAATTAAATTTTAGAAAAAGTTAATTGCTAATTATTTGTATTAAATTTTTAGATATTTGATTAATATCGTGTTAAAAATCTCAATGTTTTTAATGAAAATAGCTATCTAACTAATCTGCAATTTGAGAATTAAAGGATGAATATTCCGATATCTGCGAACATAATATTTCCTTTTATTCCTAACTTGTAAAATCGATACTCCCGATATTCATCACGATATAAAAATAAGCGAAGTTTGCGAATGACTTCGTGAAACTTACTGTTAACGCCAAAATTTCTCGACAATTGTTCATTGTGTATTAGCGCTCGCAATAAGCGAACACACGATCGATTCTTAAAAAGGGAGATGGAGAGACATTCTGATCCTCCGAGCCGGTCTTATCGGGTTGCATATGATTTTAGAGCATCGTTATGTGTCGTCTAAAGCGCTCAACTCCACAATAATGAAGGTGTGTGCAGCTTCGGCATACGTGATGCGCGATATTTGTGTGTATTGACTCTCGTTCGTGCAGCGACGTTACATATATTGTCGGTTCACGAGCGCCGATGCTGAAGGGAGGTTTGGTCCTACCTAATCCTTATCTGCGGAGGGTTGCGAGATCACACGCCTTCTAGGTATTGTACTCACCTCTTATACCACACTGAACCGTTCTCCGTTGTCCGGTGCCAAACGCGTCGTCCTTTATTTCGAGGTAATGTTGCGCGATAACAACCAAAGCTTCGATTACCCAAGAGCTAAACTTAGGATTGTCTCGGGGGAAGGATTATCGGCACAGTCGGCACAGGTTTTTAAAAAGAATGGTCGGGGATATAGCATTATTGAAAATCATGTTATATCAGTTCTCATACCTTTTATTTCAATTTTTACTGAGTATTTTGTATAAATCATCGCAGAAAAGTTTTAATCAACGCGTGATGTACGTTAAATAAATTCTTACTGACTGTTTTACAGCAAGATATTAATTCCTTAATTAGAGACGTTTTTTTTAACGATATTAAGATATGCTTGATACGATAGATGAAATGTTAGTAAAATTCATCAGGGTATAAAATTATGTTAGTACGATTCGACGTTAAAAGGAAATTGTATTATTATGTGACTTTCGATTGTTACTTCCACGACCTTTTCTGTGCAATTTTACAGCAGCGCCATTGCCATCACTGCGTCGAACGCTTTATCTTGGGGTAATGTTGCGTGATAACAACGAACGGGTGGAATCGTCCCAGCGGGATTATTAGTGCCGCCTGTAGTTTCTTGAAGGCCGTCTAGTCGATAAGGAGCTACGTTACTATTCTGGCTGGATATTTTTGTTTTCAAGTTAATTGTGTATTAATTATTCCAATCATTTTTGCTACATTATTCCATCTCTCTTATCAATATTTATTTTTATTCTGCGATTTTATTTTTAAATAGTTTTGTAAGACAGAGATAAATTAATGTTATTTACTATCAAAAAATTGTATTTAAAATTTCGTTAACATAATTTTGGTACTTGAGTATTAAACTTCGTAGAGTATTCGTAATATATGCGAAATATTTCGTCTGCATATTTACGATAAACAACGTTGTGTGCTATAATCATACATCAAAGGAAAAAGCGGCGGCGAGTGCAGTTGCCTTAAGAGAGTCTTGCGCGCGACGCGTCCTTAGTATCCTTGGTCCGGTGTTTTCTTTCAACAAATATATATATACATATATATATATATATATATATATATATATATATTATCCTGAGCGTCCACTTCTCACGGATAGAAGAACGCAGACAACTAAGAAAAAGGAGAGATGGAAAGAAAAAGAGGAAAAAGAGAGAGAAAGAAAATGTGAGAGAAAGAGAGCGTGCTCGTTGATAACTTGGTCCTTCGCAAAATATGCAGCATAACAAAGTGCGGTGACACAGTGGGAAACTGAAGATTCTAGAAAATAAAGAGAAGAGTCGAGTACGCAGTCAGGATTGGATGCGGCCTATCTTGCCCATCTACTTACCATGCCTCTCTTTGGGGCTTGCCGCCACTCGTTGGGTTTGTCGAAGTAGGAACATGAAGGAGAAACAACTCCGTCGAGTAGGATCGCCGAGAGTAGTGAAAGATGAATAAAACCGTTGCGCAGCGTGCGCTTTCGAATGATACCGCCTAGTTGCCGCGGCAAGCAAGAAGTGCTACTTGTGAAAAATGGATTTCGACGAAAGTTTAACAATAGCGTCACTTGCGGTTGTCTGCGCTTGTTATTTCGAGTACGCTAAGAAGTAAGAAGGCGATATCTTGTCTTTGATTGGCGTGATTTTCTATCAGCAGACACCGCAAATGTAATATTATTCGATGTTTTGATAGAAAGAAGTTCAATTTTAATCGCGTATCTCATAGACGTTTAAAAATATGTTCGCTAGTTAGGAAAATTTTATTGACGTGCTGCAAATTAACTATATTGCAATTTTCTATTCGAAAGCACTCTTTCAAAGTCGTGTACGTTATATGGAATTTTTCACACGCAGAGAAGGAAGTAACCGAAATTTTACAGTAACACAGTTAAATGGTTGTTATGCGGGTAGAGGAGGAGGGAAAGGAAGGGGGAGAACGCTATCTCCATAACGATCGATTTCCTTGAAGCGTGAATTTGCGAATCATCACCGACGGTTTTACTATGGCAGCGATGCGGTAGTGAGACGGGACCGAGGGTGGAAAATAGTAGAGGAGAGATAGAACTCGTTCGACTCCATAATTTGACTCGAAATTGCTTACTTCCGGCGTAGTTACATACTTACGACAGTGTAATTGCATACTTATAGCAGCGGCTTTCATCTCATCTCAGCTCCTTCAGCTGAGTAATATAACAATAATAGCTGTTATTATCGTCATTATAGTGTCTTAAAGATTGTCGTATATCCTTTAACGTTGAAGATCTTAAAAAGTAAAGAGCTCATCTTTTAGTATTTGACTCGAAGTATATATTTCTTTAATACATTCGTTATATAACTTCATTTTTTGTAACTAATTTTGTAATTATATAATTTTTTATAGTTAAAAATATTAATATATATATTAATATATTAATATTTTATATAATATGTATTATATAAAAGTACTTAATTAATAAAATGTAGCATACTCTGGTAGCGAATGTATTATTGTATATGTTCACAAAGAAAAATTGAACTATTTTTTAATATTATTTAAAATGTGTTTTTCGTACTTTATTTTTTAACAGCTAATAAAATTGTGGTGTATAGAAATGTTGATTTTCGGTAAAGGCGTTCGCGCACAGTGATATTTGTGAATATCAAAAGCTGGATAACAAAGAGAGAGAATTACACGATTCCTGAAATAATTACTACTTTATTATATACGAATACCATTCATACGTCGCAAGTGAAAAATATTATGTATTCGAAGATCGAGAAGGGAGCCCGCTTATTTTCTCGACACATTTTATTATGTAATATAAACTTATGTGTTATACATCGCTACATATGCTTTGGCTTAATCGCTAGTCCTATCGGCTATCCTTACGGCTAGAATGCACAGTGACTTGTACAGAATCATCATCGTGGCACTCCTCCACTTACTCCTCCATTGATCTGTCATTGATTTGTCATTGTCACGTAACGCTGGTAACGCGGGAAAGAGGAAAGGATGAAAAATGCACTTGTATATTACATCGAATAAATATTTCATGAAAAATAAATCTCGCAAAGAATGTACAGTAATTACGTGTGATTGTCGTTCTTTCTAAAAATAATAGACCGTAAAATTGCATTGTACATACATAAAAAAAACCGGAGCATTCATAATTAGTACGTACAGTTAGATATGCGATTGAAAATACACATACATAAGTATTCGTGATACTCAGATTGCAAGAAAAGAGTAAAATTTTGATCGAGGATGTGATCGAATATTAAACTGGGACAATACAAAAGAAAGATTTCGAATTATTGTAGACTCTGACGCAAGCGAACTTTTTGATTCAGCTGCATCGAGAGACGCAAACGCATCGAACTCAAAACACTTTTATCCACGAATTTATTTGCATCGTTATTTTTCAAGCATATCCACTCCTCTCCTCTTTCCGTGTCACAGAAGCTCTCGTGTCACGAAAGCGTTCCCGTTTAGTTTACAAAACGTTTATCCTTAATGCATCTAACTGCGAGACGGCAACGGCTCAGTCCTCCTTACTATACATATATGTATATTCTTATGTGCGTGTATGTGTGTGTATTATATATACCGAGAAATGAAAAGCGACTCTCTTATCGCGGTATTGTTCCATGACAGATTTTACAATACGCCGACTAGATTTCCGGTCTCAAGGATTAGTCTGGCTTGATATTTTATCTCAACCGCGCGCGCTGCCGTTGCCGCAACGACGGCTTTCGAGAGATTCTCCCTGGCGAAGATCAGCCGCTAATTATTGCGATCGGGTTTTAACGTAATACGAGAACATCATAAGTACCGTCGTAATTAAGGTTATACCCCCGTCGTGTGCTTTCTGTATTCGCGCTTGAAAGGTAAACTAAAGAGCGGTGTATCATCTCGCGTATAAAACGCGTGCCGGAAACCGTTGTAATTTCCGAAGTCAATTCTTTCTTTCGAGAAAATTTCTGCGGTGCGGTCATCTCGTTTTTGTACCCAGTTTTGTCCGGCAGCTATTATTTCCATCATACGAGAGCTTTCTACATATTTTTTTTCATTTAGAGATTACGTTTCGCATGAAAAGCTTTAATGTAGCTTGGAAATTTAAAGAAGATCTTAGCACGAGCAGAAACTGTAGGTATCTGTATAAAAACGATATATATCATCTTACTTTATATGAGTATTGTCCAAGATGTGCGGATTTTTCGTACCTTTATTCAATGTCGTTTAAAATACAGTAATAGGAAATATAAGATAATTGTGGAAGCTATTACATTACGATATATCACACGGCAATTTGCGTTTGAAAAATTTTTACACATAATCGAGCTCTCCCCGTGTTTATCCATTACCATCGCGAAGATTGACTTTTCATATCAGTTTTCAGCCGGATGAACAAACGTATAGATAATATGCGGCAGTATACGAGTTTGTACATTTTCCGCTCGTACCAATTTTTTTTTCACGCAGCATGCTTATATTGCGCGTTTCGCGGGAGCCCCAAAAACGCAGCAGGGAAATCATTACTATTACGTCACGCTCGAAATTGAATTTAAAAATTTACATGATATTTAATTACAGCAGCACACAAAGCAGATACAATTTATTTTCCTGTCAAAATTAATATTTCAATTGAAATAAAAAGTTGTTATAAATACAGAGTTATAATAAATATTTTAGCTATGTAGGCTTTTATCCTCGTCGCACATTTAGCGCTAAATACAACCGTGCATTTCACGTGTAGATTGAGTGTTGTTCGTTACCGCGTTTTTTGTATTAAACAAACTATGACTATTTTTAACATTTAATTTAATTGATTATATCAAATTTTACGATTATTTAGTCGCGTCTAACACTAAACGTCCGACGAGAACAGCAACCATGGACGCTAGATATGAAGGACAAGCCGTGCGTCAACATACGTCGCATACGGAATTCAGCGTTGCACCCTTAGATCTGTCCACCAAAGCGGGATTGCTTCTCGTTCATTCTTATAACTTAAGTTACGTGTTCTCCATTCTCCATAATATACCGGGGAACAACGCCGAGCTCCGCGTCGCGAACGCGATTAATACGAGCCTAATAATTAACGATTAGACGTTAGTTATTAATTATTATTGTTAAATTTATGCCTAAGATATAATACACTCACCTAAGACGTACCTGATGTGATATCTTTGTAAAAATTTCCCTACCACGAGAGACAGACGAGAGAGTGAGAGAGATGCAGCACTCTCGATGACGATGGGGAGAGAAAAAAACATTTGCAGAATCTGGTCTGCAGGTTTCTCCGTCGATATTCTTCGTCGATGCTGTCGCCGAGCGAGGAGACGCTTCGCGAAAAACATCCCCACGCGAAAACATTGTCTGGGATTTCGTGCAAGCGCGCATCTCGTGCTGAAAATCGCCCTGACGTTTGTTCTACGTGGGCAGCGATCTTACTCTTCTTTAATTCGCGCGAAATATTTTAATTTTCCCAACATTTGCACAACGTTTCGGAATTGTATGTTTCGCAGATTTCTCGAAAAGGATATTTTTTGGCAGTAAAGTTGTAGGAAGAGACAAGCTATATAATAATTAACTAACAAGCACAGGATTATTAAAGAAAAATTAATTTTTAACAAAGATTTTGTTTAAATATTAACTTTGTTGCTACCTTCAACTTTATTTAAGAAAGTCCAATTGCAAATTTTGTACGCGACTGTTTTCGTTCCACGATAGAAAGTAGCGAGACGATAAAAATTTCGTTTTAAGTAACGTAGTACGTTTCGGAAATGCCGGGTTAATCTCGGCGAGACTCCGGTGCTGCACGCGATGGTTAAATTTCACCGAGAAATTCTCGCACCATGAACGTGTAGCTCGCCGATCACCGCACTCGTACCACGGTCCGTCATTTGTACTGGCGATTAAACTGTCAGCTTAATTGCACCTAACGTTTTTCTTCCGGAAAGCCGGGGGCCAATTTCCCAATTATGCCAAGGCTCATTTCTTTTTTCGATCGCGTGCAAAGACAAGGCGTGTTATTACCTCGTTCCGACGGTCGTTAAACTTACTTTTAACGCGAGTAAAGTCAGTAACTTAACTTAATTTTCAATAGCGATACATCATAACATAGACGTTGAAGTAATATATAAATTAAGGGAATCTGCGATTTTTCTTTGACACTTTCGAAGATGTATCAATATGTCTAAACAATTTTATCATCTGTCATAAGATTAAGCTGAGTTATCACTAGAACTCTGTAACTCAACCTGTATTATCAAAACAGATATTCGAGATAGATATACATGTACTTTTTTGCTATATGTTGCGGTATTTTCGCCGTAACAAATTTGACAAACAATGCCGATTGTTCAATTATTTCGAAAACAAACAAAAAAACAGATCGAAACGCCGTGCGCTCGGAGTGAAAATCGAGTCTCAAACGCATTTTAGCGATACACGCGGAAACGCGATACGACGCGAGTCAGCTATTCGAATTTCTCTTTGGCAATCTTTGTGTTTTCAATATTCGTGGTCCGAGTGATACATGCCTACATATATGTGTACGTATCGCACGACGGACGTGACATCAAACGACAATAAATGCATGCGAGTAAAATAAAGCCGCCGTACATATGATAATGCTTCTCCGCTTGTTTGCCGCGAAAATATGCGATGGTTGCGAACACTAATTGTAATGAAATATATTATACCGTTCGATTATGTGACTCTACGCGCTGGCCTTCCTCGTCACGGCCACTCGTTATATCAAACAGGATTTAATAGCAATGGGATTACGCGAAATTACATCGCGCACGATCATTATATATAGTCGTCTGCGTAAATGCACACGATATATTGTCGTTCGATGCCAATGTAATTCGCTGCAACAGTTACTAATTCTTTTACCTTAAAATATCAGATATTGTTTATGAATTTTCGTGTAACGCATATTGTCAAACCACGCAGATCGCTACTCTTTCTAAAGTACGGCATATAAATGCACCCCTAGTCGTGTCGTTGCGGTATGACTACTGAGAGAGATATAAAAAAGATAGCCTCTTCTCCAGCCTCTATATCATTTTCCATCCAATACATTAAATTTTTCATATTTAATCGTATTCGCGTCCCAGCGTGCGTTTCTCGCATAAGTGCTCCTCGCTCGTCTTGCCCGTCTTTGGCTTACACGACCTTTCGTCCGTGAGCGAGTCACTTTGGTACACGTGTTCGTGGAAGGGGACCGACGCGGACGATGACTACCAATGATAGTCGATGATCGGCTTACTCTCCGAGCATGGATTGACGCTACCGCACCATTTGGTCTCCTTCAACGGCGGACACGGTGCGCCACCCCGGCGCGGTTTTATCGTGATTTTCCGCGTTCTCTGGGTCTCGCCCACCCCGCAGCTGCGACTGCACGCGCTCCACGGGCCCCATTCGCCGACCTTGCAATCTCTCGGTGCACCTAGAATCACGAATGCAATTATTCCACTCGAGCGGATGAGCGAGTCCATGTCTAATCTCGCGACGTGTAGGGAAATCCTCGGGGTAGATAACCGCGATCTTCGGAATTGGTGGCCGCAACGAAAATTGGAGAAATTTTCTAGCTTTAAATTTTGCTCAAATAGTTCTCTTATTATAGAATTTAAAAAAGATATTAAGAATTCGAGATTTAATTACTTGATATCAATAGGAGGGGGTTAGTCTAGTTCAATTAAAAAGTTGAAAAATTGCATTATAGCGTTCCATTAAACTTTAAATTAAGATCGATTCCGTTTTTTTTTTAAGAGTGTTAACAGCTGAATCGATATGCGATATTCCTGGAATTAGATGAATCGTATCGAGTTATCGATACTAATTTATGATTTTGATAAATTTAATGAACAGATTTGAAGAACTAATCGAATTGGTCCGCTATTTTGCAATCTGATAATTATTATCAGCTCGAACAACGTACTGTTATGTGCATGCGAGACTCTCGTACACGAAGAAAATTCTGCATCAGTACGGAAACCGGAATAGCGGACAAACGCGAGACAGAAGGTACAGGGTGGAGGCCAACGCGAATGGTAGAGACAGGAAAGGATGCGAGGGGGAGAGAGAGAGAGAGCGCGGAAGCGCTCTTTGATCATTTACGCGGGAAATATGGCTATTGAGAGCGCGCTTGGCTTTTGCATTAGCTACCATCAATAAAAAAACTGCACCGAGGGTTTGTCCGGACCTTCCGTTGCACCGTGTCGTTTAAAGAGTTAATTAGAGGCTCGATTAGATAGCAAAAGCGAAGGGTCTACGAAGATTTCAAAAAACATTTTAAATTATGCCCGTAATCATCGTTCGCCGGATTAGTGGAGATCAACAGGGTGGTTATCAATAGCGTCGCAGCGGTACAAAATATCGCTAGCTGTATTATATTGTCTCACCGTATTTTGCTACGGGAATAGAGAGAAGCCGGCTTTGCATGATAATATTATTATTCTAAACTAATTAAATAGAATCGGATAATGCTATGCCCAAATCCGATAATCTGATAACGCCCAAATCTGATAATGCGAATCATTGCCTTTATAACTTATAGATGAGAATATGATGAGTAATATGTTATTATAAAAAATATTATAGAACTCAATTATGAATAACAAAATTTAGGATTAAACAATATTTGAACATTTTTATCGCACTTACGTGTTCTAACTCGTTTGCCTTTGGATGTCAATCCATGATGCTTCATCCTGAATCTGTGTTGGCGCTGATCCGCCGTGTTGGTCACGTTGTTCACGAATGAGTAACCCGTACTCGACACGTTCGACACGTTGGCAATCTTCCTCTGGATGTCCTCGTAGATTTGCGCCTTCTGCGTTTCCGCTGTTTGCCTGTACGTCTGGTAATACGGCCAGTCGGACTTCCCTGTCTCGCTGTATCTCGTTTTACCGTCGACGGCAACCTTCGATGTTCGCGGTATCGCGGTCGCGGTGTACCTCGGTCTCTGCAAAGCGTATGACGTGGCGATGCTGTTGATGATCGCCGCCTTGTTGTCCCGCGGAACGTCCGTCACGACTTGCTGGCCGCTCCCGGTCGTGCTCCAGTATCTGTTATCAGAGAATTAAAAGATGAGATTGAGAGGAGAATCGGGGAACTGTGCGGTTGTTTTTCAGAGAAAAGCACAGAATATAAATTAGTTAATTAGAATAAAGGAAATTGAGAATCTAGAACCGTGGAATTCACAGAGATTGAAAATTCGCAAAATTTTCGAAACTTCTGCAATTAACTGGGGTGCAATTAAAGGTATATACCTATTATATGTGATAATTCACGCAGCCTGCTCCACGATTACTAACATTAATATCATCGATTATGTTAATGTTATTCGCATACAATTGTTCTTGTTACGATGCACGTGTTTTGATGGGCCGAACGCATCGAATGCTTTAACACGAATCGACGGAATTTCCATTACTGTCCCGTCCATACACTCGCAATCAATACTCGATGAATATACATGCAATCGGTCGATGTGGTGCAGCGGAACGCCACAGTGTAGACAGTGCCTAGACAGTAATAAGTTGGACGAGCGTGTTAGGTAGCAATTACTAAATGGAACTGGCCAGGTATTAGTGGCGCGCTGAACTTGTCGGACCCCATTTGCTAAACATGTATGCATTACTTGTATAAAGCCGGAGTAATGCCTTCGCGTCGCGAGATGAAGTTGTTAATTAATTATTCCCGGGATGATAAAATTCGCGAACTCGCAAATAACAAAAGTGGTCCGCGCTCAATATAGTTGATTTGTCGACGAATTAATTCAACCAATATTACAATTGCAGCATCGTTAAAACTTACGCTTTATTTGTAACGGCCAAAGATCAAATAAATTTGCTTATAATTAACGGCCGTATATTAATATCTAGTCCTCATGCGAAAAGCTACATTTTCGAGAAAGAATATATGTACAATTAAAATATAAAAAAATGGATCTATGTATTTTAGCTATTGTTCTAGGCAGATTTATCCACAATTTGTACTATGATAAATAATAATAATAGCAGGAAACAATAAACAATAATATATCGTATCATTTTATATTCTTTCTCTCTCCTCTTATGATATATTAATATATATTATTTAAATATGACAATTTATTTTAACATCTAGAGATTTATTGTGGTTCGTTAGTGTATTTGAGTTAGTGCTCCGGTTAGACGATACCTTCTCGATTTTCGCAGCACGAACTCGCCGAGACAAAATCGGTCATTCGTTATGAACCGTCTACACGAGTAGTCGTGTTAGTTCTCGCCAGTACGTACACTCCGACGAATCGAATTTAGCGAGCTGAGCGAAGGCGTGTGGACGCGCGAAAACAATTTCGAGAATTGATTTACGGTTGGCATGTGGTACACATAAGAGAGACAGGATCAAGGGGGTTGTCGGACGGCAGTCCCCAAACTTGCGTTTCACACAAGGAAAACTTATTCATCGTGCGTCTCTCTTCCTCCCTCTCTTTTTCTCTTTTCTTTTCTCTCATGATTCTGGCAGCCGTGGAGAATTCACTCTTTATGTATTTGCGCGCAACGAGATTTCATCAAAAGCGTTCATTCTGGATACAGGAAAGCTACATCTCTCGGTGCGGATAGGACCGGCATCGTTGGTCTGTGATGTTTGCGATTTAATTGCTATAGCGATTCGCAAGGAAAATTTGCAATTTCGAACGCAATCGATTAGAAAATTCCGTTTAAGAGTATGGTAATTACAAATTCCAGTTGTAATTTGTGACCGAATTAAGCAATTACGCTTTGCAATATGTAGGCAATGCATATGCAATCGATGCACATATTAGTCCGTGACAGAACTACGAGACCGGAGTTGTCTAGTTATCACGGTTATTCTCTAATTACAAATTTCATTGGCCCACTTGCAGAGCGAATAGATAGACGAGATAAAATAATATTCCGCACGTTTTCACAAATCTTTTCACACATTCTTCATCAAGAATATTTTATTACTTGTTAATGATTCCGTTGCCCGAACTTGTAATCTTAAAAGTCGTGTGTAAGACCGATAGTCTGCATTGGTATTAAATACGCTGGCACGGCACGTTTAGTATAATCGTATTTTCTGCACGATAATTTGCATGTATGCAGATCCGGCATAAGTTTACTTTTTCCTACGCTTTAATATTCCTCCAGGAAGTTCTGGCCGCGCGCCGCTAAGCTAAGGGCCGAGCTTATAGGTCGTCATAACTTTTTAATTAAACTGACCTATCATTACTCTACCGCTGTCAACCGAAAAACCTAAATAAACGCACGAACCTCATTTGCTCTCCGCGGAACTTACTTGCCTGATTGCGAGCGGGAAAAAGCTATAGTTTTAACATCGCGAATACGTTTGAGTTGTATTCGACCGAACATTCGAATGTCAACAATCCCACTCGATCGTCGTGCCTGTGGGGCGTGGAACGACTCGTGGAATTTTACAGGGCAGGAAATCGAAGTATATTTGGATCTAATCGGCGACATTCTTGGCTCGATCTTCGTTATACCCTACCGAGTTCGTATAACGACATCGTCTCCGTCGATTATGGCCACGTCGCGCGTCTACAGGAAGTTTGGCGAAGTAGGGTAAACAGTATATAGTTGCTGGCAATCAGTATAGTCATGGGCGTGGGGGAGAAGCACAGGAAATTGTCTTCGAGCGTTATTACCTTACTTCGTAACAAGAGAACACCTTTTGCGGAAAACTGAGATAAAACTTCTCTAATCAATTTCTTTTTTAAAGAAATCAACAGAAATTTATTAGGCTAATATATCTCCGATCAAAAGTCTCTTAAAATTAACGTCAACAACAAAAGAAAGAAATACGAATTTCAACAAATCTCCCCCATTTCCCGAACGATAATGTATATCAGCTTGTTTGAGGGTTCCCTTCATCGCATGCTGCCTGCTTTATATCGATTTCTATTCTTCGGGCGACGAGGAACATATTTGTTGCCATCACCTTCCAAAATAACGAGCCAAAGTGCTCCGTTATCACGGGCGCCAAAACTTATTGCGGGTCGTTAGACCCCATACGAAACCGTAGTCATTTTATTTCGTGGTGCGGCGGTGAAAAAGTATCGCCGCTTTATATACACGCGTGTATTCTCGAGTTTCGTCGAACGGAAACTGAAGAGCTGTTGACAAAATGACGATGACATGTAACGTCATCGCGGCAATTCGCGCTCTTATTAGGATTTCGATCTGTCGCAGCATCGCCGATGCGGTGATTTATTTTAACGTCGTGCTCGTTGGAATGTACATACGAGCGATGGACTTAATACGCGGGAGAATGCGATACAATGGACGCCGGTGAATTAATTGCGCGCTAATGCGTTTGCATTTGACGGCAGGGGGACTTTGAGCGTTAATACATGCACTTCGCTGTTGGTCCGTGGATTTTAGTTCCATTGTACCGCGATCTCGTTATGCATTTGTTCGCGATATGCATAATATGCATATTATTCTACGAGGCCGCTAGTTTCGTCGATATATTTTTTTAACCGGGCTCGAAACGTGATTTGCGATATCGCGAATTTCGCAACAAGTTTTTTCCCGCGAATAATTTATTCTCAGTTCGTTTAGGTGGCTTATTTCGCCATAAATTAATTATTCGCTTTTCCGCGCACGTACGCTCATTCTATAACTCGGGAAAATCCGAAGTGCAATCAAGACCAGAAAAAAAGAGCAGCTCGGATTTCCAGAAATATTCAAGAGATACGTGCATGATATTGCTCAATATGAGTGGAAACTACGGCGGAGATTTTCCAACATTACGACAGTAATAGCATTTACATTTTGGATTATGCGGACTGTTTCCGCGACTCCGTTCGCGCGGATTATCACGGAGCTCATGAGAGATATGAAAAAATGTTTTAGAACATCATGTCTCACACTCACACGCACACGCGCGCGTACGCACGCACGCATGCATGTACGTGCCTAGTCGGAAATCGCACCACCGAAAGAAAGACATAGAGTGATTCGCTGCAACATCACCGTGGATATTTTAGCACATCATTGACACTGATAGATTAAGATACGCGGAGGGAGGCTATCTTTCGGACGAAACGAGCGTCTTGGGCGAGCGAATTTTAGTTTTAGTTTCTTTGACCTCGCGTGCGCCGCTGAAAAATGCGCGCGTGAAAATAAATTGCCGGTGGCGGAAAATAAATTACCGGGCGCATTACGATTGCCGCGTGTTCGCGATTCCCTTTCCCTTCCCCGTCTCCAGTAGTGAACGCGGAGGCGAAAGGCAAAAGGGATGCAACGGGCGATACCGCCTAGGCACGTCGTTCGTTATAGTTACTTCTTGTTACACTCACTCTCCGTTTATCGCAGTAAATTCATTGGAACGTGCCGTATGCCAGTTCACAAATGACACCACCACGTTGGCGCAATGGGGATTTACGCGGTCGTGCATGCCTTTTGCGATGTGTACGCAACCATCATTCTCCGGTAATTAACTTTATGATTGCGCGAAAGGCGTAAATGCGCACGCGAGTTTAGCGTTATTGAATTCACGGATATCCGTAAAGTCTCGCGGTATTCCAGCGTGCGGTTAACGCATCGTATATTCTTGAAACGCGCTTTGATAAACTTGATTCCTGATTCGTTCAACTGCTCTAAAATTTCCATTGGTTCCACTGATAGTTTTATGTTCTTATAATATACGATACCTACACTGATCCTTTATAGATTTTGAATACTGTTTCCTGCTTTATAAGAAAAGCAGGAAGAATAACGCGAAGAATGGAGGCGATTTTCGAATCGATACCTAGCTTTTCGCGTTGTCGACCTCGTAATACATCAACTTTTCCTTCTCTCGACCTCCCTGTTCCCATACATGCGCAAACGCAAATATTCACCCACGGTGATACGATAACCGTCGAGTTTAACGTTGCTCTCGAGAAGTTTGCACAATGTAGTTTGACGGGTTTTTGACGGAAAATCGTCACTTCGATCGAATAAGATTTAACTGAGCAAAATAATCTCTTGTAGCGTTTTACGCTCGGCGTTTGTACCTTAAATTCGAATATGCATGCAACTGAGTTTACTGT